TTGAATGTAAAACACCAGCACAAGTGACCAAGAGCAGGATAATAAAGCTTTTACTGAACATCGTCTTGAATGTAAAACACCAGCACAAGTGACCAAGAGCAGGATAATAAAGCTTTTACTGTACATCGTCTTGAATGTAAAACATCAGCATTAATAATCAAGAGCAGGATAATAAAGCTTTTACTGTACATCGTCTTGAATGTAAAACACCAGCATTAGTGACAAAGAGCAGGATAATAAAGCTTTTACTGTACATCGTCTTGAATGTAAAACATCAGCATTAGTGACCAAGAGCAGGATAATAAAGCTTTTACTGTACATCGTCTTGAATGTAAAACACCAGCATTAGTGACAAAGAGCAGGATAATAAAGCTTTTACTGTACATCGTCTTGAATGTAAAACATCAGCACTGTTTTACATTCAAGACGATGTACAGTAAAAGCTTTATTATCCTGCTCTTGGTCACTTCAGCATTAGTGACATGGTTTCATACAGAAAAAAAACAACTTGATTTTCATCTCTACGAAAGGAAACTTAAAACAAAGTGTGAGGTACCAACACCCCTCCCATTCCCCTCCAAGCTGATAAAACCTGCAATAAAAATAGTAAGAGTACTAGTGAACAATCTCTCTATAAAAAAAGTGATAACTCAGTATCTGCTGTAATTTAAAAGTATATTTTCCAAAAATCCACTGTTTAAGTACAGTATTCAGTCTGATGAATTTTATAAAAAATATTCCAAAAACCTAAGTCTCTGTAAAAGGGTTAATGAAACATTAACGTTGTGTGAAAAACAAAAACAAAGGGTGTGAGTTAAATGTTTGTGTCTGAAATTTGATTAAAAAAAATATATATATATAAACTTTTGATTTCAAAAATAAAAAAATCCCAAAAAGCACAGAATAAACTTTATAAATTACAGCAGTTACTGTAGTGGACACTTCCCCCAGTTTTGTTTTTTTTAATCACATTAAAGTGTCATTAAACGAAGGGTCAATACCCACGGTTTCTAAAGCACCAGCGTCACGCCCAAAGGCGGGACTGATAAGCTCATCTCTGGCTTCTCACTGAGAAGAGGAAAGCAGGCCCATTCGAGTGCCTGCTGATAAGGCTGCAGACAAATGAAAACAAACAGTGAAAAACATGTATGATGTTTACAATCAAATTTAAAGAAATACAGAAAAGTATTGGAAATAGAACAAATAGTATAGAAATGTGCTGACAAAACTGAAAATATTGGCAGAAATATACATGTCATTATATCTATATGTTCTAAAATTAACCTCAATAAAACATTTTTTTTAAATATGCACATCAATTTCTTGTATTTAAATCCAAATGAAACACTAGAGTTACCATCATTTTTATTTTATGATAAACTATGAAATTTAATATTTCCTTCCATTAAAATAAAAATGATAAAAATCTTACCACAATAAAACAAGAGATCAGATAATGGATAACATTCAAAACTAAATTCTGAAAAATTAAATATTTTTTTACAAAGCAATTGTATATCAATATTTCATTCAATTAATTTCCAATTAACATGTATTCTTGACAAAAATTAAAAAAAAAAACTTTTTTTTGAAACAACCAATTTTTTTTTCTCTTAGTCTATATAAAAATTAATAAAATACAATAATTATGTTCAAATATCATGCTGTAAAAATCATTTTCTGTAAGAGTAAAAATATTTTACATAAACACCCATACTTCTATAAAAAAAATAATAAATATGATAGTTATGTACATTTACTTATTTATAAGAATACTTTTATGTTCTCAAACCCGTCTTGCACATAGATATAACTTTTATATTGATAAAAAGAAAAATAGCCCACATTTTTTTTATAATATAACGTCATTTCTTATTCAATTACCTGGCGAGTTAGTTAGTACGTTTATTATTGATCAACTGAGGCAAAATTACTTTTCAAAAGTTTATAAATACGTTAGGTGTACATTATTATTATAGTTTCTATCAATGTGTTGTTTTTAAACTTAAGCCTGCAACTTGGGTCAGAGTGAACATAGCCCGTAGCAAGCATTATCAAAGAAACAATTTATTCTTATGTGAACAGAATATAACATTATTTTTACCAAATAACCCAAAAGAACCTGTCAATGATAGAATACATTATAACAGTATATTAACCAGATATTTCGTCACACAGATGAAGACTTACTAAAACCACAAATTGTGTTACTGGAAACGGTGACATTATTTAACAGATGTTGTTGTTGTTGATACTGTGACATTATTTAACAGATGTTGTTGTTTCACAAGTTGTGTTACTTGATACTGTGACATTATTTAAAAAGATGATGTGTTACTGGAGACTGCAACATTATATAGCAGATATTAGCCACAACAAGCATGATAACACTTTACTGTTTTAATAAATAAAGATTTTATTTCTTTAACTTCTATTTAAGTTAGTAAATTATATGAAGCACATTTTGCATTAAAAAATTTAACAGAAAAGTCTTTTATAAGATCCTGTGCATGAAAAAAAAAAAAAAAAAAAAACCTACAAAGTTCCGAGAGTTAGAAATGCAGGCCAACATTCAAGAAACTAGAATTGAACATTAAAGGCTTTAGTAAAGCTGTTCTGAAATGCGAACTGCAAATGAAACTACAAAGGCAATTTGTATATTTAAAAATAAAAAAAAACTTTGCAAATTAGAGTGTTACGTGTTATCATGCTTGTGTGACATAAGCTTATGCAATTACATTTATTGCACAGCATTTAGAAAGAGGGATTTGTTGAGTCTTGTGTAAGAGTCTAACATAATATTGCAATATTAATACTTTCACATCCTAGTAGTATCAACAAAAACTGATATCCTCCCCCTACACACACACATACAGATAAACATACAAGAAAAAGTAACTCAACATATTCGGAATTAAATTTTCTCCCTTTTAAACTATTTTGAAGCAGATTTTACGATCTAGTAAGACATATACATTTACTTATCATGCAACAGAGTGATAAGTAACATATTTTATGTGTCTATGCACGTGATGGAGGCAGGTGTTACTGTGTACTACTGTTAAGAACCACTAATTTGATTACCACAAAATGCCTTCATTTTGAACAAAAATGTTTTTACCGAATACGAATCTTGTGACCTTTAAACTAAACAGCTGTCTATATGTGTATGGATGGTTACTGGAAAGAAAAAAAGCTTAATGGGTTTTCTAACGTTAACTGCTACATGTTTACATAATGATTACACTTAATGATGGTTTACACACACACCAACAACATTATGTAAGTTTCATCTACATATTCTATCATTCCTATTTCCTTTTAGTGCTTGTTCTTAACATATAAATCTTGAATGTATTTAACAGTTATATTTTCTCCAATAGCATGTTTTCCCGACTCAAAATATTTTAACATTTCGATGATTTTAATTACCGACATATTTCCCAAACACAAGTTTAGTGAGCAATTATTAAGAGCAAGCAAACTGCCAGTATTCAACATGAAGTAAGAAATATAAGATAGTTGTATATACAATAGTAATTTCTATTTTATTACCAGTAACAGCTTTTACAATGAGGAAACAGATACGATGTTTCGATTACTGGTGCAATTGTTCTCAAGTACGCACAAGTTTTAATGGTAGATACTAAATTTAAATATTAAAACCTTCTTTACCATTAAAACCTGTGTACTTGAGAATGATCACATCATTGACCAAAACATCATACCTAAAAATAATCTTTATTGTAAAATCTGAAACCTGTAATAAAAAAAAAATGCTTACACTTAGTAAGTAAACAGAAAACAAATCTATTAATAGTACTTATTTGTAGCTACTAGCTAATAACAATGTTAATAAGGACCATTAAAAGGTTTTTTCTTGTTTTATGTGCGAGTCTGAATTCACTAATTCAACAGGGTATTTTTTCTCGGCACTTACAACAATTCGCTCACCTCGGGTTATTAAATTAAATACTTTTACATTAACCACTCTATCCAAGATTTCTATTGCTATTCCTCACAAAAACAAGTGCATTTAAATGGATTTTAAGCTGTGAATTTCTTTCAATGAGGTTAGTCAGTTCTAGTATTTATAAAGCAGGTTAGTAGACGTAACCTTCCACATCTGCTCTAATTGTTCATTACAGACCTAATAATACTAAAAGTTCAATAAAAAAAAGGCTAAATGTTAACTAACCTAAGAACATATGCATCAATTTGTTCATTTTTCTTGAAGCTAATTATTTCACACTTCACTAACTTCAACAATGACTCCAGTGCAGCCCTGAGAAAAAACAAAAAACCTCAACATATATAAGTTATGGATTCAATACTCAATATGTTCAGAATTTAACATAATACAATACAAAGCTAGTAAGATGTATTCAGACATCCAACTGACTACAACACATTCAATAACAATATATTCAAACTCTAAACTGTATACTGATATCCTCATATCATATCAGCTAGAGCTCATATGCAATAAATGTTATTTATAATAATGATATAATGCAAGTTTAATCCACCTGAAAAAAACCAACATACTCTTAATCAATATGTAAATGTTTCTTTGACATAATAAATAATACTGATTATGATTTGTTTACTCTTTACACAGTATTTCAGTTTTTTAACAAATCAGAATAACAGAATTATATTTACAATGATTTGAAAAGTTTTTTCGTTAATAATTAATTTATACAATTCATTCAAGATCATTTTGAAAGTATTTTTACCTACCTGAAAATTACCAAATCTTGAAATTAACACTCACAGAACCTGTTTTGTACTGTTCTTTTAAACATGCACATAAAAATAGCATTTGTTTCTTTCAGTTTCACTAGACAACTTCCAACACATAACGTCCAAACAGTAACAAATCATCACACTCTTATGAGTTCGAGAGTATACCCTATAATCAACAGTGCATTGTAAAAGTACATCTGTTCTGCTACTAGTACTAATAGTATTACTATACTAGTTGCATCAGTAATACAAATAAACAGCAATATTATACTTTTATCACATTACTCGGGGTTACTTATCAGTAAACAAAAACCAAACATTCTCCTTCACATAAAATGATTTGACAATTACTTTTTATAATACTACTAGGTAATATAATTAAATCGATTAAACTTTAGTCAGTCACACTCGCAGCCTTATATTTCATACACATTTTTCAAATTTTATTACGATTAATTCATCTAAAACTAAAATTTTCTTTTCATCATTCAAATACTAAACCACACTAGTTTTATTTACTGGATAACAAACACTGTGTTCAAAATTATAATGCGAATAATATTCTTCACAAAAATTTACTCTTGTCTTTTAAATTGTACGTGTAAGCCTACCTTGGAATTTTCCGCACATCGCAATCTTCCATGTCGCCATCACTGCAGCTAAACCACATTTCTAACAGTTTTTCAGTTCCTTCAAAGAAACCACAATAGTTGTCCTCCACATTCATTTTCAAAACTTTTTCAGTTCAAAGTAATGAAACTATATTACTGACAAAAACAAAATCTCAAAAATTACGAAGTCTTCCGTACAGTAATAGTTACAATCATAAACCGAATTGCTTAGGGCTCAAAAGTCTTGACGATTTTATCGATCGAAATGCACACGTAAGTCATGCAGACAAGCACGTGATATTTTTAGAGCCCGGTTCCAACTCCCTGAAGAAATTTATTATCAGTGCCAAAGTGAGACAGGTTCATCGTGATTGGGTAAATTAAAATATGTATTTTATTAAATCAAACGAAACTATATTTTAGAAAGAAACAAAAATTAAAATTCCAAATATTTTCTTAAAATCACATTTTAGCTTTTCTATAATATTATTATATTACAGTAGTCTGATAATTGCAGTAGTTGTGAGAAATCTGATTTTTCCTTTACTTATTCAATCAAATAACACAACTTACTTTGATCCACAATGTAGAGGTGGCGTAGTAATAATTCAGAATTGTTTGTTTGTTTAAAATTAAACAC